TGATCTGCGCCACACGCTGTCCAATCATAGCCGGCGCCGAGCTGCCATCGCTGCCTCTCTCCGCCAATCGAAATCAGCGAAGGGTGGGACCGGAGAAGGCCGGGCATGCCACCGGAAGTGCACTCCAGGCATAACTCCCTTTCCTCTTCCGCCCTTGGTCCCGCCGCCTTCCTCCCCTCCGCGTTCTGATGGGCTGCGCCTGCTGTCTCCGAGGCTGCCCGAAAGCTGATTGGACATCCCTCCTGGCTGCGTGCCCCGCCCACATCCGGGTCTCTCAGCGCCCCGGTGCCCAGCCCCCTGGCGCCGCTGCCCGACTACATCTCTGAGGAGAAGCTGCAGGAGAAAGGTGGGTAGGGTCGGCCCCCGCACCCCCATCCTCCCGAGCGGGACCGGGCCTGACCCCGCCGCCCCCCCCTCCTCTCTGTCCCCGCAGCCAGCAAGTGGCAGCAGCTGCAGGCCAAGCGCTATGCGGAGAAGAGGAAATTCGGCTTCGTGGACGCGCAGAAGGAGGACATGCCCCCCGAGCACGTCCGGAAGATCATCCGCGACCACGGCGATATGACCAACAGGAAGTTCCGTCACGACAAGCGCGTCTACCTGGGGTAAGGGAGGCCCCCGCTATGTGGGGAGCCAAGCTGAGGCCTCCGTTGCTGCCTTGTCAGAGCTCCTCGTTGATTGTTGAAGGGAGACCCTCTTCTCCAAAGGGCGCTCTGCATCGGTTGTGCGTAGAAGGCAGCACAGCAGCTCAAGGAGGATGGGATAATCAGTTTTGTTAGAGTAGCAGTGCAAAAGAGGATAAGCGAAGGAGGTTGTTGCTTTGAATTTATGAGAGAAACATTACCCTGGATCACAAACACGTTGTCCCAGAAGAAGTTGGGGGAGAGTATGAATTAGCCAACATTTGCTTTTTGCAAGATTAAAAAGCATCATGAGTGCTTCTTTGCTGTTTGGGTTCAGAGAGCTGTCTCTCACACGTCATGATCCATTGCACTAACGTACCGTTAGCCATAAGAACTCCAGAAACTCACTTGAAATTTTTCATTTTCGTTTGTAACATTCTTAATGTGTAACAATCTCTTGGAACCAAACCAACAGAAAACTTTTTGGTAGTGCGGTGCATGAAGCACAAGGACAGGATAGGAAGTTTGTGGATTTGTCACCGGAGACCTTTATGAGCGGATTAGATTAGCGGTTTTCAGGAGTAAAAGGTGTAGAGGTAATTGGGCTTGTGGCAGATGGGTGGCTGTTCTCTTGACATCCCTTCCAAGCCTGATTTTCCTTTATTTCTGATTGTAGTGCTCTGAAGTACATGCCTCATGCTGTTCTGAAGCTCTTGGAGAACATGCCCATGCCCTGGGAGCAAATCAGAGACGTTCCAGTCTTGTACCATATCACAGGCGCTATCTCTTTTGTGAATGAGATTCCTTGGGTCATAGAGCCGGTCTACATTGCTCAGTGGGGGTAAGTGCCTTCCTTCGCCCTGGTGGGAACTTGTGAGCAAACTCTCATGCATCCACAATAAAAGCGATGCTTAACATTCTCTGGGTATCTGCCAGGTCGATGTGGATTATGATGAGGCGAGAGAAGAGGGATAGGCGTCACTTCAAGAGGATGAGATTCCCCCCATTTGATGATGAAGAACCCCCTCTGGATTATGCTGATAACATCCTGGATGTGGAGCCCCTGGAAGCAATTCAGCTTGAGCTGGATCCGGAGGAGGATGCCCCTGTGCTGGACTGGTTCTATGACCATCAGCCGCTGAAAGACAACAAGAAGTACGTGCCTCTCTGGTAGCACAATTCACTGGCAGAGGGGAAAACCAAATGCACTACATAAATTGCCTATACATAGCAGCATATAACCTTTGGTTGTGTTATGCTGGGCTACATATGATGTTTGTGGGGAGAGGAAAACCTTTCCTCAAGGATGGGAGGGAGAACCTGATTGTTGTAAAGCTATACCTCTTGTCTTTAGCAGCCAGCGAGGGCAAACAAGGTCTCTCTGTCCAGGAGAGCTGCTGCCCAGTTAACTGTTAAAACTCTTGACATTTCTTACCATGCCATAAATATGACAGCCTGGATTATCTAGTTGGAATTTGAGTTGATACTTGCTAAGAGTGTACAGATGTTGTGTATCAGTTCGGATATGGAGGAGGAGAGGAACTGGAGAAGTTGGTATTTTCTGGGCAGATGTAGTCCATAGTGGTCTTTAGCAGTCCTGCAGCCTTTCTTTCTGTCTAGAGGAGCTCGTGTGTTAGCTGTCCTTAATATTTTCTGGAAATGATGGGCAGTGAAAGGTGTTTTGTTATTTCTGGTCCTTTGGTAAAGGCCCAGTTGTCTTCTAGCTGTGCAGTGAGTGTCTGTGCTTTGTTCTTTTGCAGGTATGTAAATGGTTCAACATACCAGCGTTGGCAGTTCACTCTCCCGATGATGTCCACGCTGTACCGGCTGGCCAATCAGCTGCTCACTGACCTTGTGGATGACAACTATTTCTATTTGTTTGACCTGAAAGCGTTCTTTACCTCCAAGGCGCTGAACATGGCTATTCCTGGAGGTCCTAAGTTCGAGCCTCTTGTTAGAGACATCAATCTTCAGTAAGTGTTGGGTTTAGGAGGAAAGATAAGTGGTTATCTGGGAAAGGGGCTGGGAGGGTTAATCTGTTATCAGGTGTCTTGCCTTGGGTGAGCTATTCCTGGGTGTTAAGCTGC